CGTGGTACGCTTTCATCCTATTGATCGAGCCTTCCAGCGTTCGTTTTAGCTCGCGCAACATCAAGTCGCGCTCGACCAACTCTCGATCGACCTCGTCGTTCACGGCGCTCCATATCGAGTAACTCACGATCGTCGGTGGTTTGCGCCCGTACACCAACTCGAACGGCGTTGCCTTAGTCGAGCTATGGTAAGTGGTGTTATACCAATACTCGGCCCAAGGTAGATAATTCTCCCATCGCTTCGGAAATTGATGCACATAGCACCTAAGGTATTGCTCGAGCGTGCGATTGGTCACCTCTGTCTGTCCATCGGTTTGTGGATGATAAGCTGAGCTCATGCTTAGCTCGGTTCCCTGCAATTTAAAGAACTCTGACCAAAAGCTACTCATAAATATCCGATCCCGGTCGGACACAATCGACCGCGGCACCCCATGTAATTTCATCACATATTCGACAAATAATTTTGCTATAGACTTAGCCGTGTATGGGTGAGTAAGTGGAATAAAATGCGCATACTTGATAAGACGGTCGACTACCACCATGACTCCATTGAACCCATTCGAGAGTGGCAACCCCTCGATGAAATCCATGGTGATGTCCTCCCAGATACGTGCGGGGACCGGCAAGGGTTGGAGCAGCCCGCCTGGTCGACGTGCGTCCGCCTTAGTGCGTTGGCACTCATCACACCGCCTAACGTAGTCGCGTACATCGCCTCTCAGTCCTGGCCAATAAAAAGTGCTCGCAATCCTCATCCATGTCCGGAACACCCCGGAGTGTCCTCCAAACTTCGAGTCGTGGAAGTGCCGGATGATTTCCTCGCGCAATGATCCCGCCTTGGGCACGACGACTCGACCATGATAAAGGAGCAAGCCCTCGTGCATGTCATGGTCCTCGTCCTCGTCTTGTCCCACGTTCAGCTTCTCGATCACATCCCGGCAATGCGCATCCTCGTCTTGTGCCTTTCGAAGCTCGTTCCATACGGCCCACGTCGGCCCCGTTATTGCGTCGAGCTCGGCCACGTCTTCCCTGCGAGACAATGCATCGGCCACGGTGTTCTGGCGACCGGGTCGATACACTATCTCGAAGTCGAACCCCATCAATTTGGACACGAACTTCTGCTGCTCGGGCGTCACGATCCTTTGCTCGAGCAAGTGCTTGAGCGGCTGCTGGTCCGTGACAATCCGAAAGCGTCGCCCAAGCAAATACGGCCTCCACACACGCACGGCCTCGACCACGGCTAGCATCTCTTTCACGTATGCGGACAACCCTAAGCGCGCCGGCCCGAGAGCTTTGCTGAGATAAGCCAAGGGTCGTCCTTCCTGTACTAGAACCGCTCCGATTCCAATGTCGCTTGCATCTGAGTGAATCTCGAACAGCACATCAAACCTCGGCATCGCAAGCACGGGCGTGGTTGTCATGGCTTTCTTCAGCTCCTCGAATGCCATCTCGCTTGCTTCGGTCCATTTGAAAGCTCCTTTCTTCGTCATTTCCGTAAGTGGCTTAGCGATGGTCCCATAGTCTTTCACGAATTTTCGATAGTAGCCCGTGAGACCAAGGAACCCTCGCAACTGCGTCAAGCTCATGGGTTTTGGCCATCCCACCATCGCCTCGATCTTCCTTGGGTCCACCTTAACACCATCATGAGAAATAAAGTGCCCAAGGTATTCGACCACCTTTTGGGCAAACGAGCACTTGGATGGCTTGATATAAAATGAGTTAGCCGCCAAAATCTTCAAAACAACTCGCAAGTGCTCGAGATGATCTGCCCATGTTTTTGAGTACACCAAAATATCATCAAAGAATACTAATACAAACTTTCGTAGGTACCTCTTAAAAATCGAGTTCATGGCAAACTGAAAGGTCGATGGTGCATTGCACAACCCGAAAGGCATCACGAGATATTCGTAGTGACCCTGGTGCGTGCGAAAAGCCGTTTTGGGCACGTCCTCCTTGGCCAATCTAATCTGATGATAGCCCGCGCGTAGGTCGAGCTTGGAGAAATAGTGCGTGCCTCCTAACTCGTCCAGCATGTCGTCGACAATTGGGATGGGAAAACGATCCTTTACGGTAGCGGCATTAAGAGCGCGGTAGTCCGTGCAGAACCGCCAAGTTCCGTCCTTCTTCTTTGCGAGCAACACCGGTGATGAGAATGGGCTCGTGCTATGCTGGATGAGCCCGGACTCGAGCATCTCGCCCACCTGCCTCTCGATTTCTGTCTTTTGAAAGTGTGCGTATCGATACGGATGCACGTGCACTGCTCGACCTTCCTCGACCAAGGGTATGCGGTGGTCAAACTCTCGATATGGCGGCAGTCCCTTGGGTTCGTCGAGGACCTGGTCGAACTCCTCGAGCAAGTCACGTACCTCGCGCTGCCTCTCCTCGACCATCTCCGCGTCCTTGCCAATCTGCTCGACCACCTGGTCGAACTTCTCGATCACCTCCGCATCCTTGCCTATCTGCTCGACCAAGACAGCGTACAACTGTCCGCCACCTCGCCCCACCTTCTCGATGCTTTTTATACCAACCTCCTTGGTCGATCCTTCGTTTGCTTTCAAGGTGACTAGCCCATCATCGGTCTCGAACTTCATCACGCCCTTCCTATAGTTGGTCGTCACATCTCCGAGTCCCTCGAGCCATTGAACCCCAAGCACCACATCCGGCCCTACTAGTGGTAAGGCAAACAGGTCTGCTTTTACCGTCACTCCTTGGAATTTGATTGGCACTCCTCGGTACACCTTCGAGCACCGCAGTCGTTCACCATTAGCCACCCGCACCTCGAATGGCTCGACCATGGACGTGGGTAGTTGAAGTTTGTGAGATAGCGTCGCATTAATAAAGTTGTGCGACGACCCATTGTCCACGAGCACAGTCACTCGCCGGTCCTTTACCCATGCCGGCAATCGCATTGTCCTCGGGCCTTTGGTGCCTGCCATGGCGTGCACAGAGATCTCGGCCTCATCATCGAGCACCTCGACCTCCTCATCTTCCCTTTCCTCCACAAATTCTGGTTCCTCATCACCTGCGTCAACAAATTCGATCAAAAAATTTTGCTTACACTTATGACCCGGGGTGAACCTCTCCTCGCACTTAAAGCACAGCCCCTTCTCACGCCTCCGAGCCATCTCTTCGACCGTCAATCGCTTGATTTCTGGAATTGGTGGTCGAATGTTGCCCATTGGTTTGACCCCTGTATTGAACGTGTTCGTGCTAGTCGACACCCGGCGCGGTTCTGGGGCGCGGAAATCCGCCCGTCCCCTTCGTGTTGCGGCTAGGTGCTAGTCGCGCCGTCGAGCAACTTCCATTGCTTTTTGCATGGTGCTCGGCTTCTCCAATCGTACCTCCGCAGCCAAATCGTACCTAAGTCCTCCAATGAATGCACCGACCAAGGCACTCTCGGGCCACCCTCGTACGCGACACGCCAAGCGCTCGAACTCCTTTTGGTAATCGCGTAGAGTGCCTGTCTGCCTAATACGCGAGAGCGCCTCGTCATAGTTGAGGTAACTCGACGCTCCAAACCGCGTAAGTAATTCCCTCTCAAAATCATTCCACATGATCGGTTGATTGCGGGTCCCGTATACGCTCGTGAGCCATTGCCACCACACGTTGGCCTCCCCGTCTAGGTAATAGGCCGCGTACCTGACCCAGTGCCTCGCCGGCGTCTCGTTCAATTCAAAGTATTGCATCGCCCGATTGAGCCACGCCTCGGGGTCGATCCCCGTGAAGGTTGAGAGCATTATTTTTGGTTTGTCAATCCTTGGCCTCTCGTGCATGTTGGACGCCTGCGAGTTCCGCTCGAATTCCTCCTCCTCATGCTCCCACTGTTGTTCCTGTTGCCTTAGACGCTCGCGTGCGTTTGTGCGAATTCGCTCATGAGTGCGCGGTTGCTGGTGGAGTTCTTGTAAGTTTCGCCCCAACTCCTCGAATTTTTGGGTCATGAATCCCATCATCTCCTTCATAGCCACCTTGTGAGACCCGAGTTCTTCCCCCATGGTGGACATGGTCTCGGTCATGCTCGAAACCCGTGCATCAAGGCTATCGATTTTGTCCTTCATCTCTTTGTTGGCCATCTCTTTCTTCTCTTTTTTTCTTTCTTTACTGCGAGGACTCGTTTTGATTTTTTTTTTTTTTTTGAACGAAGAATGATCAAACAAGAAAATTAAAATTAGAATCAAAAGGAAGAAGAACACACGATAAAACACCTCTCAATGAAAGCACCAATGATGAAGATCGTGTGTTCGGACTTTCGACAAGCCACGCGAGTGCCTTAAATCGAGATAGGGTCCCGAAGATCCGTGTCCACAGCCCTTCGAAACAAGTAAAATTGCAATAGAAAACTAGAGCAAAGTGTTTGAACAAAAGTTCGGATTTTGTATATTAAGAAGAATCAATAATAATAATTATCAAGGGGAAGGGCCTTTATATAGGCATCAACTAAGTCTAGTCCTAATATAACTATAACTCTAATAAAGCAATAAAATATTAAGTCTCCTAAACAAACTAGAAAACAAGGAAACAAATCTCTAGAATATCTCTAGCTTGGGCTTCAAGCCGCCTTTGCGCGCGTGCCACTCTCGCGCGCCCGCCTCGCCTACTCCTTGCGTGGTTAGGCCTGCTCGCGCGTGAACCTCCTCGTCCGCACCCGCGCTAAAGCTCCCTTGGCCGAGATTCTCACGCGCGTCACCGTCCGCGCGCCCATGTCCGCTAATGAGTTGGGCCTGGGCAGCCCGTCGGCCTAGCCTTCGCCGTGCATGATAAGCGCGGCTCGCAGCATTCTTTAATCTCCTTGTCGTGTTCTCATCATTCCCGTCCCCTTCAAGTGCTTCCTTGTCCTCAAGGAAGAAATCAGGAAACATCTCGCGCATCTCGTCCCAACTTTGCCACGTTGCTTCCTCGCTCGGTAAGTCCTCCCATTCGACGAGTACCTCCCAAAAATATTTCCCAGCCTTTTTGACTTGCCGGTACTCCATCGCCCGGCTTGGCCGCACCATAACCTGCCCGTCCGGCGCGACCGCCGGCAATCGATCCTTTGCCGCATGCGCTTCGCCGAGTCGTTGCTTGAGTTGAGAGACGTGTATGACCGGGTGAATATGGGAATCGTCTGGCAACTCAAGTCGATAAGCAACCTTCCCAACCTTGGCCAAAATTTTATAAGGCCCGTAATATCGAACTCCGAGTTTGGTCGCGGCCCTTTGCGCGGCCGTCCTTTGCCGAAATGGCCTCAACTTCAAGTATACCCAATCCCCGGGCTCGAACTTCACGTCACGCCGCTTGCCATCGTGGTACGCTTTCATCCTATTGATCGAGCCTTCCAGCGTTCGTTTTAGCTCGCG